TCTCTCCACTTGGAGCTCAACTAAGTAGTCGAAGCACAGAACCACAAAGTCACTAGCTCCCAGGGGCCTTTCATACATGATACCTCGATGTCCGAACTACTCGTGGTGAATACAAGGTCCAACTTGCTGGTTCATCCTCTCCTCTCTCTCTGGTAGTATCTCTAACATGTTGATGCATGAGGTTCTCCAGTACCACATCCATCATCTTGGCTCTCCATGTTCGGGCCCCCCTGGGGCTCCCGGTTTTCCCAGTCAATCTCCTTGTGATTGAAATCACCCATAACTAGTACTTTGCTCCCCCATGTGTGCTCTTTGGCCACCCCGGCTAGTGGGGTCGATCATTGCTCTGTTGCTCTCATTTATATTCTTCTCTTGGCCTCCGCAGTTCTGTGGTGGGTGTACATTACTGCAATTATCCCTATGTCCCTCAGACTGGATTGTTCCTACTAAGTTTGTCCCTTTCGCCCATGGGCCCTCCATTCCTTCCATTTTCTCAAAACCCCACTGGTTTTTAATGAGCAGTGCAACTCCTCCTCCCCCCCTCCCCCTCTGTCTTTCCTGAGGATTTGATATCCGGATGGAAAGATTGAATCTGTTATTATTTTGGTGAGTTTTGTTTCTGTGAGTGCTATTATGTCTGGGGATGTCTCTTTGATTCTTTCGTGCCACTCCTCATACTTGTTTGTTATTCCATCTGCATTTGTATACCACACCTTCAACTTCTTTTCTAAGACTGTGGTCTGGGAAGTATATTGGGGTTGGGGAAGTGGGAGACCTGGTAAGGAACTATGGGTTGTTGCTGTGGGGGTGGAGTTTGTAATGTAGTGGGTGGGGGCATTGGATGTGGCATGGGTGTTCTGATTTAGAGTGCTTGGTTGCACTGGGGTTGACCTGGTTGGGAGGCTTCGATAGGAAGTTGTGAGGGAGGCTGTATTTGATCTTCTTCCTGGGTCTGGGATCTCCTGTCTGTCTTCTCCATCCCCTCTCTTTCCTCCTTTCGCCTTTGTACCATCTCTCTCAGTTTCTTCCTTTCTTCTTGTGTTCTCTCGCGGTCGAGATACACCTTCCTGTATGCCGTCATGTCCCTTAATCGTGCTTTCTCCTGCAGGATCCTGGTCCGAGTCGCTTCTGCCTTGAAGGTCACTCTCACTGGCCGGGTTCTTTTTTTTACAAACCCCCCTATTCTCAGAAAATTTTCCAGCTGGATCATATCGTCTTCTCCTATTGCTTTCATGATGCTTTCAATTGCTTTTTTTCCCCTTGTTTTCTTGCTTCATATGTTTCCCCTTCGACTTCCTGGAGCCCATACACAAAGACTGACCTCACCCTTTCATTCTCCCACTGCATATCCCTGTGTATCCCCTCATTTAATTTGGTTTCCTCCACTGCAGCTGCAGTGTGTGTGTGTGTGTGTGTGTGTGTGTGTGTGTACTCACCTAGTTGAGGTTGCGGGGGTCGAGTCCGAGCTCCTGGCCCCGCCTCTTCACTGATCGCTACTAGGTCACTCTCTCTGAACCGTGAGCTTTATCATATCTCTGCTTAAAGCTATGTATGGATCCTGCCTCCACTACATCGCTTCCCAAACTATTCCACTTACTGACTACTCTGTGGCTGAAGAAATACTTCCTAACATCCCTGTGATTCATCTGTGTCTTCAACTTCCAACTGTGTCCCCTTGTTACTGTGTCCAATCTCTGGAACATCCTCTCTTTGTCCACCTTGTCAATTCCTCTCAGTATTTTGTATGTCTCCCCTATCTCTCCTGTCCTCCAGTGTCGTCAGGTTGATTTCCCTTAACCTCTCCTCGTAGGACATACCTCTTAGCTCTGGGGCTAGTCTTGTTGCAAACCTTTGCACTTTCTCTAGTTTCTTTACGTGCTTGGCTAGGTGTGGGTTCCAAACTGGTGCCGCATACTCCAATATGGGCCTAACGTACACGGTGTACAGGGTCCTGAACGATTCCTTATTAAGATGTCGGAATGCTGTTCTGAGGTTTGCTAGGCGCCCATATGCTGCAGCAGTTATTTGATTGATGTGTGCTTCAGGAGATGTGCCTGGTGTTATACTCACCCCAAGATCTTTTTCCTTGAGTGAGGTTTGTAGTCTCTGGCCCCCTAGACTGTACTCCGTCTGCGGTCTTCTTTGCCCTTCCCCAATCTTCATGACTTTGCACTTGGTGGGATTGAACTCCAGGAGCCAATTGCTGGACCAGGTCTGCAGCCTGTCCAGATCCCTTTGTAGTTCTGCCTGGTCTTCGATCGAGTGAATTCTTCTCATCAACTTCACGTCATCTGCAAACAGGGACACCTCAGAGTCTATTCCTTCCGTCATGTCGTTCACAAATACCAGAAACAGCACTGGTCCTAGGACTGACCCCTGTGGGACCCCGCTGGTCACAGGTGCCCACATTGACACCTCGCCACGTACCATGACTCGCTGCTGTCTTCCTGACAAGTATTCCCTGATCCATTGTAGTGCCTTCCCTGTTATCCCTGCTTGGTCCTCCAGTTTTTGCACCAATCTCTTGTGTGGAACTGTGTCAAACGCCTTCTTGCAGCCCAAGAATATGCAATCCACCCACCCTTCTCTCTCTTGTCTTACTGCTGTCACCATGTCATAGAACTCCAGTAGGTTTGTGACACAGGATTTCCCGTCCCTGAAACCATGTTGGCTGCTGTTGATGAGATCATTCCTTTCTAGGTGTTCCACCACTCTTCTCCTGATAATCTTCTCCATGATTTTGCATGTGTGTGTGTGTGTGTGTGTGTGTGTGTGTGTGTGTGTGTGTGTGTGTGTGTGTGTGTGTGTGTGTGTGTGTGTTGTGTGTGTGTTGTATGTGTGTATGTGTGTGTGTGTGTGTATGTGTGTATGTGGTGTGTGTGTGTGTGTGTGTGTATATGTGTGTGTGTGTGTGTGTGTGTGTGTGTGTGTGTGTGTGTGTATGTGTGTGTGTGTGTGTGTGTATGTGTGTGTGTGTGTGTGTGTGTATGTGTGTATGTGTGTGTGTGAGTGTGTGTGTGTGTGTGTGTGTGTGTGTGTGTGTGTGTGTGTGTGTGTGTGTGTGTGTGTGTGTGTGTATGTGTGTGTGTGTGTGTGTGTGTGTGGGCAACGATGAGTACACTGAAAGATAACTCACGACTTTTCAACGCCCTCCCTTCAAACTTAAGGGAGATGACCAACAAACTCCCGGATGTTTTCAAGAGGAACTCCTCAAAACAGTTCCTGATCAGCCGGGCTGTGGTGCATATGTTGAAATGCAGGCAGCTCTAACTAACAGCTTGACTGATCAGGAAAGCAACCAGGAAGACTGGTCTGGGACACAGGAAGTAACTACAAGTAAGCTACTACACGTAAGCTACAGGCAACAGGTAACAGGTAACAAACAACAGAACCCATCAGGACACATCAGGACCCATCAGAACCCATCAGGACACATCAAGACCCATCAGAACCCACCAGAGCCCATCAGGACACATCAGGACCCATCAGAACCCATCAGAACCCATCAGAACCCATCGAGGCACATCAGGACCCATCAGAACCCATTAGGACCCATTAAGATCCATCAGGATACATTAAAACCCATCAGGACCCATCAGGCTCCATCAGGACTAATTAAGGCCCTTCAGGACCTATCAAGATCCATCAGATCTCAACAGAACCCATCAGAATCTACCAGGACCCATCAGAACCCATCAGGACCCTTTAACATATATCTGGATACATTAGAACCCATCAGGACTCATTAAGATCCCACAGGATATATTAGGATTCATCAGGATCCACCAGGACTAATTAAGACCCATCAGGACTTATCAGGATCCATCAGAACCCATCAGGACCTATTAGAACCAATCAAGACCCGTCAGAGCCCATCAGAACCCATAAGAACCCATCAGATCCTATCAGGATCCATCAGGACCCATCAGAACCCATCAGAACCAATCAGAACCCATCAGATCCTATCAGGGTCCATCAGGACCCATCAGAACCCATCAGAACCCATCAGATCCTATCAGGATTCATCAGGACCCATCAGAACCCATCAGATCCTATCAGGATCCATCAGGACCCATCAGAACCCATCAGATCCTATCAGGATCCATCAGGACCCATCAGAACCCATCAGATCCTATCAGGATCCATCAGAACCCATCAGAAACCATCAGATCCTATCAGGATCCATCAGGTCCATCAAAACCCATCAGAACCAATCAGAATCTATGAAGACCCATCAGAATCCATCAGGACTCATTAGGACCCATTAGGACCCATCAGAATCCATCAGAATCCATCATAATCCATCAGAACCCATCAGGACTCATCAGAACCAATAGAAAATAACAGGACCCAACAGAAAATAACAGGACCCAACAGAAAGCAAAAGGACCCAACGAGAGACAACAGAATCCCACAGGATAAAAAAGGACACAACAGACAACAACAGAAGCAATCATTATATTAAAAACCTTCACCCCCATCCCCCTCCCCCTCCTCCACCACCACCACCTCTTCCACCACCACCTCCTCCACCACCACCCCCTCCTCCACCACCACCAAACCCCCTCCACCACCACCTCCCCACCACCACCTCCTCAACCACCACCTCTCCACCACCACCTCCTCCACCACCACCTCCCCACCACCACCTCCACCACCACCTCCTCCTCCACCACCACCTCCTCCACCACTACCTCCTTCAAATCACCTCCTCCACCACCACCTCCTCCACCACCACCTCCACCACCAGCTCCTCCACCCACCACCTCCTCCACCACCACCTCCCTTTAAATTACCTCCTCCATCACCATCACCCCCACCACCACCTCATCCACCACCACCTCCTCCACCACCACCACCACCACCACCTCCTTTCCCCACCACCTCCTCCACCACCACCTCCTCCACCACCACCCCCACCACCACCGTGGACCACCTCCACCACCACCTCCTCCACCACCACTCCTCCACCACAACAACCACCTCCACCACCACCACCCCCACCACCACCTCCACCACCACCTCCTCCACCACCTCCTCCACCACCACCTCCTCCACCACCAACACCTCCACCACCACTTCCCCCACCACCACCTCCTCCACCACCACCTCCTCCACCACCACCTCCTCCACCACCACCTCCTCCACCATCACCTCCTCCACCCCACCTCCTCCACCCCACCACCTCCTACACCACCACCACCTCCTACAACCACCACCACCTCCTACACCACCACCTTCACCAATACCTCCTCCACCACCACCTCCACCACCACCTCCTCCATCACCACCACCTCCACCACCACCTCCTTCACCACCACCTCCTACACCACCACCACCTCCACCACCAACACCTCCAGCACCACCTCCTCCACCACCACCTCCTCCAGCACCACCTCCTCCAGCACCACTTCCTCCACCACCACCACCTCCACCACCACCTCCTCCACCACCACCACCTCCACCACCACCTCCTCCACCACCACCTCCTACACCACCACCTCCTCCACCACCACCTCCTCCACCACCACCTCCTCCACCACCACCACCTTCTCCAACCACCACCACCTCCACCACCCCCACCTCTACCACCCCCACCTCCTCCACCACCACCTCCAACCACCACCTCCTCCACCACCAAACCTCCTCCACCACCACCACCACCTCCACCACCACCTCCTCCATCACCACCTCCTCCACCACCGCCCCCCTCCAACCACCACCTCCTCCACCACCACCTCCACCACCACCTCCTCCACCACCACCTCCTCCACCACCACCACCTCCTCCACCACCACCTCCTACACCACCACCTCCCCCACCACCACCTCCTCCACCACCACCTCCTCCACCATGCACCTCCTCCACCACCACCACCTCCACCACCACCACCATCACCACCTCCTCCTCCACCACCACCTTTCCCCCACCACCACCTCCTCCACCACCACCTCCTCCACCACCAACACCTCCACCAACCCCCTCCTCCACCACCACCTCCTCCACCACCACCTCCTCCACCACCACCTCCTCCACCACCACCTCCTACACCACCAAACCTCCCTCCAACCACCACCTCCTCCACCACCACCTCCTACACCCACCCCTCCTCCACCACCACCTCCTCCACCACCACCTCCTACACCACCACCTCCTCCCCACCACCACCTCCCTTTACCAAACCCCCTCCTCCACCACCACCCCCTCCACCACCACCTCCTACACCACCACCTCCTCCACCCCCACCTCCTACCAAACCCCCACCTCCTCCACACCACCCTCCTCCACCACCACCTCTTCCACCACCCCCACCTCCTCAACCAACCACAACCTCCTACACCCCCACCACCTCCTGCACCACAACCCCTCCACCACCACCACCTCCTCAACCACACCTTCCTCCACCACCACCTCCTCCCACCACCACCTCCCCACCACCACCTCCCCCCACCACCACCTCCTACACCACCACCTCCTCCACCACCACCTCCTCCACCACCACCTCCTACAAACCCCCACCTCCTACACCACCACCCCCTCCACCACCACCTCCTTCACCACCACCCCTTCCCCACCACCTCCCCCAACACCACCTCCCCACCATCACCTCCTCCACAATCACCCTCCTCCACAACACCTCGCCACCACCACCTCCTCCACCACCACATCCTCCACCAAACCACCTCCCCCCCACCACCACCTCCTACACCACCAAAACCCCCTCCACCACCCCCTCCCCACCACCACCTCGTACACCACCACCTTCCTACACCAAAACCTCCTCCACCACCACCTCCTTACACCACCACCTCCCCACCACCACCTCCTCCACCACCACCTCCTCCCACCACCACCTCCTCCACCACCACCTCCTACACCACCGCCTCCTCAACCACCACCTCCTCCACCACCATCTCCTCCACCACCATCTCCTACACCACCACCTCCTCACCACCACCTCCTCAACCACCACTTCCACCCCGCCTCCTCCAGCACCACCTCCACCCACCACCTCCTCCACCACCACCCTCCAACACCACCACCTCCTCCACCACCACCTCCCCACCACCACTCCTACACCACCACCTCCTATACCACCACCTCCTCCACCACCACCTTCTCCACCACCACCTCCTCCACCAAAAACCTCCTCCACCACCACCTCCTCCACCACCACCTCCTCAACCCCCCACCCTCCAAAAACCACCACCTCCTCCACCACCACGTCCTCCACCACCACCTCCTACACCACAGCCTCCTCCACCACCACCTCCTCCACCACCACCTCTCCACCACCACCTCTTTCCCCACACCTCCTCCACCACCACCTCCTCAACCACCACCTCCTCCACCACCACCTCCCCACCACCACCTCCCCACCACCACCTCCCCACCACACCTTTCCACAACCACCACCTCCTACACCACCACCTCCTCCACCACCACCTCCTACACCACCACCCCCTCACCACCCCTGCCCCCCCCTCCACCACCACCTCCTCCACCACCACCTCATACACCACCACCTCCTACACCACCGCCCCCTCCACCACCACCACCCCCACCACCCCCCACACCCACCTCCCCCACCCCCCACCTCCTAAAACCACCACCCCTAACACCACCACCCCCCTCCACCACCACCTCTTTCCCCCACCACCTCCTCCACCACCACCTCCTCCACCACCACCTCCTCCACCACCACCTCCTACAACCACCACCCCCTCCACCACCACCTCCTCCAAACCCCCACCTCCTCCACCACCACCTCCTCCACCACCACCCCTCCTCCAAACCCCACCTCCTACACCACCAAACCCCCTACACCACCACCTCCCCCACCCACCTCCTCCCCCACCACCTCCTCCACCACCACCTCCTCCACCACCACCTCCTCAACCACCACCTCCTACAAACCCCACCTCCTCAACCGCCGCCTCCTCCACCACCACCTCCTCCACCACCACCTCCTCCACCACCACCTCCTACACCACCACCTCCTCCACCACCACCTCCTCCCCCACCACCTCCTCCACCACCACCTCCTACACAACCCCCCTCCTCCACCACCACCTCCTCCACCACCACCTCCTCCACCACCACCTCCTACACCACCACCTCCTACACCTCCATTTCCTCCACCACCACCTCCTCCCCCACCACCTCCTCCACCACCACCTCCCCCCACCACCACCTCCTCAAACCCCCACTTCCTCACCACCACCTCCTACACCACCACCTCCTACACCACCACCTCCTCCACCACCACCTCCTCCACCACCACCTCCTCAACCACCACCTCCTCCCCCCACCACCTCCTACACACACTCCTCCACCACCACCTCCTACACCACCGCCCCCTCCACCACCACCTCCTCCACCACCACCCCTCCACCACCCCCTCCTACACCACCACCTCCCACACCACCCCCTCCCCCACCACCACCTCCCCCCACCACCACCTCTTCCACCACACCTCCTCCACCACCCCCCCTTCCACTACCACCTCCTCCCACCAACCCCCCTCCTCCACCACCCCCTCCTAACCACCACCTCCTACACCACCACTCCTCCACCACCAGCTCCTCCCCACCACTCCTCCACCACCACCTCCTCAACCCACTCCACACCCCCAGCTCCTTTCCCCACCACCTCCTCCACCACCACCGTCCTCCACCACCACTCCTCCAAACCCCCAGCTCCTCCACCACCACTCCTCCAACACCACCCCTCACCCCACCTTTCCCCCACCACAAACCTCCCCACTACCACTCCCACTACACACCATCCTCCACCACCACCCCCTCCACCACCACCTCCAACACCACCTCCTCACAACAACAACAAGTCCAGCTATGGGGTAAGACAAGAGCCAGGGTAGGCAACCATCACTCAAAACGGTAAAAAGACACATTAAGGATAGGGGGTAAAGGGAGGCTAAAGAGATAAAGGGAAGATAAGGGGGAAAGGGTAAGTGTTAAGGAAGGGAAAGGGAAAATAAACAGGAGATAGAGGGAGAGAGGAAAACGTAGAGTATAAAGGGGAAAAATGGGAAAAGGGGAGAGAAGAGGGGGGGAACAAGGGGAAGGGGAGAGGGGGGAGAGGGAAGGGAGAAGGAAAGAGAGGGGGAGGAGGGGAAGGGAAAGCGACAGACAAGACAGTAGCTGGGGGCCGGGGAAACTTTATCCCAAAGTGGGTATTAAAATATGCACAGGGGGGAAACCGGGGGGGGTAACCACCAGGGGGGACAGGGGAGGGGGGGAGAGAGTGGAAGGGAGAAGGAAAAGGAGGGATAGGGGTAAAAGGGGAGGGGGCAAAGGGCCCAACAGGGGTTGATAGGAACAGGACCCGGATAGGGTCGGGGCCCGGGGGCGGGAGGGTTAAGGAAGGAGAAAAGGGAAGGAGAGGGGTGGAAGAGGGAGGAAGGGAGGTGAGAGGGAAAGGATGAAGGAAGGGAGGGGGCGGAAGGGGGCGGAGGGAGGTAGGAGGATGAGAGTTTTGGATGAAGGGAGGCACGGAGGATGAGAGGTAGGATGAAGGGAGGCAGGAGGCTGAGAGGGCAGCATGGAGGAGGCAGGGAGGATGAGAGGGTAAGATCAAGGGAGGCAGGGAGGATGAGAAGGTAGGACGAAGAGAGGCAGGGAGGATGAGAGAGTAGGATGAAGGAGCAGGGAGGAGGAGAGAGTAGGATGAAGGAGGCAGGGAGGATGAGAGGGTAGGATGAAGGAAGGCAGGGAGGCTGAGAAGGCAGGCTGGAGGAGGTAGAGAGGATGAGAGAGTTGGATGAAGGGAGGCACGGAGGATGAGAGGGTAGGATGAAGGGAGGCAGGGAGGCTGAGAGGGCAGCATGGAGGGAGGCAGGGAGGATGAGAGGGTAAGATCAAGGGAGGCAGGAGGATGAGAAGGTAGGACGAAAGAGAGGCAGGGAGGATGAGAGAGTAGGATGAAGAGAGGCAGGGAGGAGGAGAGAGTAGGATGAAGGAGGCAGGGAGGCTGAGAGGGAGGATGAAGGAAGGCAGAGAGGCTGAGAAGCAGGCTGAGGAGGTAAGAGGAAGAGGAGTTGGATGAAGGGAGGCACGAGGATGAAGGGAGGAAAGGAGGCAGGGGGCTGAGAGGGCAGCATGGAGGGAGGCAGGGAGGATGAGAGGGTAAGATCAAGGGAGGCAGGAGGATGAGAGGTAGGACGAAGAGAGGCAGGGAGGATGAGAGAGTAGGATGAAGGGAGGCAGGGTGGAGGAGAGGTAGGATGAAGGGAGGCAGGGAGGCTGAGAGGGCAGGATGGAGGAGGAGAGGAGGATGAAGAGAGTAAGGATGAAGGGAGGCAGGGAGGATGAGAGGGTAGGATGAAGGGAGGCAGAGAGGCTGAGAGGGCAGGATGGAGGGAGGCAGAGAGGATGAGAGGGTAGGATGAAGGGAGGCAGGGAGGATGAGAGGGTAGGATGAAGGGAGGCAGGGAGGATGAGAGAGTAGGATGAAGGGAGGCAGGGTGGAGAGGGTAGAGATGAAGGGAGGCAGTGGAGGCGAGAGGGAAGGATGGAGGAGGTAGGAGGATGAGAGAGTAGATGAAGGGAGGCAGGGAGGATGAGAGGTAGGATGAAGGAGGCAGGAGGCTGAGAGGCAGGATGAGGGGGCAGAGAGGACGAGAGGTAGGATGAAGGAGGCAGGGAGGATGAGAGGGTAGGATGAAGGGAGGCAGGGAGGATAGAGAGTAGGATGAAGAGAGGCAGGAGGCAGGAGGCTGAGAGATAGAAGAAGGTAGGCAGGAGGATGAGAGAGTAGAAGAAGGTGGAAGGGAGGATGAGAGAGTAGGATGAAGGAGGTAGGGAGATGAGAGTAGGATGAAGGGGACAGGGAGGATGAGAGAGTAGGAGAAGGGAGGAGGAGATGAGAGAGTAGGATGAAGGGAGGCAGGGAGGATTAGAGAGTAGGATGAAGGAAGGCAGGGAGGATAGAGGGTAGGATGGAGGGAGGCAGGGAGGATGAGATTGTAGGATGAAGGGAGGCAGGGAGGATGAGAGGGTAGGATGAAGGGAGGCAGGGAGGATGAGAGAGTAGCATGAAGGGAGGCAGCGAAGATGAGAGAGTAGGATGAAGGGAGGCAGGGAGGATGAGAGGATAGGATGAAGGGAGGCAGGGAGGATGAGAGGGTAGGATGAAGGGAGGCAGGGAGGATGAGAGAGTAGGACGAAGGGAGGCGAGGAGGATGAGAGAGTAGGATGAAGCGAGGCAGGGAGGATGAGAGAGTAGGATGAAGGGAGGCAAGGAGGATGAGAGGGTAGGATGGAGGGAGGCAGAGAGGCTGAGAGGGTAGGATGAAGGGAAGCAGGGAAGATAGAGAGTAGGATGAAAGGAGGTAGGGAGATGAGAGAGTAGAATGAAGGGAGGCAGGGAGGATGAGAGAGTAGGTGAAGGGAGGCAGGGAGGATGAGAGGGTAGATGAAGGGAGGCAGGGAGCTGAGAGAGTAGATGAAGTGAGCAGGGAGAATGAGAGGGTAGAATGAAGGGAGGCAGGGAGACGTGAGAGGGCAGGATGGAGGGAGGTAGGGAGGTGAGAGGTAGGATGAAGGGAGGCAGGGAGGATGAGAGGTAGGATGAAGGAGGCAGGGAGGCTGAGAGGGTAGGATGAAGGGAAGCAGGGAGGCTGAGAGGGTAAGGATGAAGGGAGGCAGGGAGGATGAGAGGGTAGATGAAGGTAACAGGGAGCTGAGAGGGTAGGATGAAGGGAGGCAGGGAGGATGAGAGGGTAGAAGAAGGGAGGCAGTGAGGTGAGAGGGTAGGATGAAGAGAGGCAGGAGGCTGAGAGGGTATAATGAAGGGCGGCAGGAGGCTGAGAGGGTAATGAAGGGAAGAGGAGGCTGAGAGGGTAGGATGGAGGGAGGCAGGAGGATGAGAGGGTAGGATGAAGGGAGGCAGGGAGGCGAGAGGGAGGATGAAGGGAGGCAGTGAGACTGAGAGGTAGGATGAAGGGAGGCAGGGAGGCTGAGAGGGTAGGATGAAGGGAGGCAGTGAGGCTGAGAGGGTAGGATGAAGGGAGGCAGGGAGGCAGGGAGGCTGAGAGGGTAGGATGAAGGGAAGCAGGGAGGCTGAGAGGGTAGGATGGAGGGAGGCAGGAGAATGAGAGGTAGATGAAGGGAGGCAGGGAGGCTGAGAGGGTAGGATGAAGGGAGGCAGGGAGGCTGAGAGGGTAGGATGAAGGAGGCAGGAGACTGAGAGTGTAGGATGAAGGAGGCAGGAGGCTGAGAAGGGTAGGATGAAGGGAGGCAGTGAGGCTGAGAGGGTAGGATGAAGGGAGGCAGAGGCAGGGAGCTGAGAGGTAGATGAAGGGAGCAGGGGCTGAAGGGTAGGATGGAGGGAGGCAGGGAGAATGAGAGGGTAGGACGAAGGGAGGCAGGGAGGCTGAGAGGGTAGGATGAAGGGAGGCAGGGAGGCTGAGAGGGTAGGATGAAGGGAGGCAGGGAGGCTGAGAGGGTAGGATGAAGGGAGGCAGGGAGGCTGAGAGGGTAGGATGAAGGGAGGCAGGGAGGATGAGAGGGTAGGATTAAGGGAGGCAGGGAGGCTGAGAGGGTAGGATGAAGGGAGGCAGTGTTAGTCTGAGCTGGCAGACTTCAGTAAGACAATGAGAATATGGTCCAGTATTCCATGAAAGGTTCATCAGCTACGACAACATCAAAGTTGTCCTTCCAGCAGAGCTGCAGTTACTATCACTTGCCAGTGACCATCTTCCAGCAGAGCTGCAGTTACTATCACTTGCCAGTGACCATCTTCCAGCAGAGCTGCAGTTACTATCACTTGTCAGTGACCATCTTCCAGCAGAGCTGCAGTTACTATCACTTGCCAGTGACCATCTTCCAGCAGAGCTGCAGTTACTATCACTTGCCAGTGACCATCTTCCAGCAGAGCTGCAGTTACTGTCACTTGCCAGTGACCATCTTCCAGCAGAGCTGCAGTTACTATCACTTGCCAGTGACCATCTTCCAGCAGAGCTGCAGTTACTATCACTTGCCAGTGACCATCTTCCAGCAGAGCTGCAGTTACTATCACTTGCCAGTGACCATCTTCCAGCAGAGCTGCAGTTAATATCACTTGCCAGTGACCATCTTCCAGCAGAGCTGCAGTTACTATCACTTGCCAGTGACCATCTTCCAGCAGAGCTGCAGTTACTATCACTTGCCGGTGACCA